TGGTGTCATCAACAAACTTTGTTAGCAGTCCCTCAAGTCTTGTATCCCAGTCACTGATGAAGACAAAGAGCACTGGCCCCAGGATGGATCCCTGTGGGACCCCACTGGTGACCAGTCACCAGCCTGATGTAACTCCACTGACTAGAACTCTTTGAGCCCAACCCATCAGCCAGTTGCTCACCCATAGCAGTGTGTGTTTATTCAGCTGTATGCTGGACATCTTGTCCAGGAGGATACTGAGAGATGGTATCGAAGGCTTCACTGAAGTCCAAAAAGATTACATCAACTGGCTTCCCTTGGTCAACTAGGTGGGTAATCTTATCATAGAAAGGGATTAGGTTCGTCAAGCAGGACTTTCCTCTCATGAACCCATGTTGGCTGGAACCAATGACTACGTTGTCAATGACTACAGCCAACCAATCACTATAGCCAACCAATGAAGAAATAAAATACAAATACAAATGTTTGTTTTTCTCGCTGTCTTTTCTCATACACTTGTACTTTGAGCTTAAGTAGTAGTTAAATCCACTGATACACAGACTAAGGAGAAAAATCATTCTTTAGTTGTACCACTAAATCATGAATATCATTAGTGGTACAACAGCTCAGTGCTGTACCACTAATAATGCTTTACTGGTTACTGTAGAGATGCATTTGTAATCCAGGTAATCGGAATACAACAGTAAAAACCCAAAACAACCCCAAGCTGTGTTCAGAAGATGTTGTACATAATAGCTTTAGATGAAATTAGTTTTTGTTTTCCTTGCTACCATCACAATGATGGGCAAAATTGTCTCTAAAATTCAACATATATTAAAAGGAAGATCGTTACATTTTATGATGACTAAACAAAATAAATGAAAATTAGGTACCCAGAAGTAAGATGCAAAACTCTACAACCTGAGCTTATTTTCAGTAGAAAGGTATGAATGCAGATTCTTTTGGGTTGGAATGACTTGTTTGCTTGATATCTGAAGTTATTAACTTCTCTTCCTCATAAAGTGAATAAAACCAAAAAAGTCCTTGCTGAACAGAAATAGCTTGATCATTACAATCTGCTCAAGAGCAAGAGAATACCAATATCTAGACTCGTGCAAGGCATTTGACACTGTCTCACACGACATCCTTGTCTCTAAGTTGCAGAGACATGGACTGGATGGATGGACCACGCAGTGGATAAGTAATTGGCTGGCTGGTCACACTCAAAGAGTTGCAGCTAATAGCTCAATGTCCAAGAGGAGACTGGTGACAAGTGGCGTCCCTCAGGGGTTAGTATTGGGACCAGCATTAATATCTTTGTCGGAGAGATGGACAGTGGGATTGAGTGCACCCTCAGCAAGTTTGCCGACGACACCAAGCTGAGTGGTTTGGTTGACACACTCCGAGAAGGGATGTCATCTAGAGGAACCCTGACAGGCTCGAGAGGTGGGCCCATGCAAACCTCAAGAAGTTCAGCAAGGCCTTCCAGTACCTGAAGGGGCCTATAGGAAGGCTGAGGAGGGACTTTTTACAAGGGCAGGTACTGACAGAACAAGGGGCAATGGCTTTAAAGTGGAAAAGGGTAGGTTTAGATCAGATACTAGGGAGAAATTCTTCATTGTGAGGGTGGTGAGACATTGGAACAGGTTGCCCAGAGAACTCCCTGGAAGTGTTCAAGGCCAGGCTTGATGAGGTTTTGAGCAACCTGAGCTGGTGGAAGGTATCCCTGCTCATGGCAGGGGGGTTGGAACTAGATGATCTTCAAGGTCCCTTCCAACCCAAACCATTCTATGATGATTCTACCTTCAGATACTTAAACCATATTGTAAAAGCTGGCTCAATAAAGGTAGGAACATGAAATTTGACTTGATAAAGTCTCATTGCAGCAGACAAAAATGAAGCTTGCATTTTGTTTGCTGACAGAAAAATATTAAATTTACAAGAGCGCATATAATAAAACCAAACATGCAACCTATTGCTTTCAAAACCTTTACTGCAACATAACATTGACGTGAACAGTAATTAGATAACTACTATTTTTCCCAAAAAGAAAATATGTAAACAGGAAAATAATTTTACCTGTATGTATATAGCTTTTCAGATCGTTTGAGGGAGGCAAAGGGGGGGGTGGTATTTCTCAACAATCAAGACACTTTTAACTGAAATGCATTTTCATTTGGAAAAAAAAAAGCCAACATTGTTTTAATTCAGCATTAAACAAAATACTGTGCTGCCTGCACTACTGTAACACATCTGAAAAAGAAAAATAACTACCCATATTTTGGCATTAATGTTTATATTTGTTTAGATTTTTTAGATTTCACAAAGCTGCTATCCAGTGTTGCCATGAAATACCGATTGTAGAATCTAGGTAGCACAGGCTACTTCCAATATCAATACTAAGTAGAAAGGAAAGTGAAGCAGGGTATTACACTACATTTCTGGAACTAGGACAGTAAGAGTGAAAACCTAGAAAAAGTTAACCTACAGTTTATAGAAGCAACTAATTATCTGCAGAAGCTGATTTTTGGTTGTATTTTATTTTACACTGTGTGATTTTATGCATCTGCTAATTTAAAGCGGACATACCTACTGCTTTCTTTGCTTTGTTTCCTATATTCACTTCTCCCCCCCTCCCCACATACCATACACCAAGCATTATGAATATAAGCCCAAATATCCCAGACAATCCAGTGAACAAAATTAGTGTAATGCACTGGTGTGAGGTGTGAAATTAAAAAAAAGTCTCTCAATCTTCATCAAAGTTCTGTTGTAGAAGAAAGTTGGCAGCCAAGTTTTCATTCTTCTCACAAGCAAAATATGCCTGTATCACAAGTCCTTCAGGAAATCCTAATGCCTTTAACTGAAGAAGAGAGACACATTTAGAAAGCACTTTTTTGCATATTAAGATTCTTCGTACATCTAATTGCCATCCATGCAAATTCATGTTTAGTCAGAGTTACACACAATATTTATGAATGCAATATACCGCCCCACATATATTTCTATAGACATGTTTACCTGTATTTTTAGAAAGCTATGATTAATTAATTTCATGGATAGACAAAAGAACTAGGTTAAGTAGTGACTTCCACTAATCTGCTTTACTATGAGAGCCCAAGTACTTTGCAAACAGCACTCATGCAGACACACCTTTGTACCTGGAAACCTATCACAGCATCATCTAGAACAGTACCATCTGAAGCTTTTGCAAGAGGAATGACTGCATGAGTTCCCATTCCTGAGGGAAGTCCATTCAATCATCAATTATTACAGTCTCTGATTACTTAAAAGGCTCTGCATCTTCTAAGACAGATTCAAGAGATTTTAGACTCAATTGTTGTAAATCAAGAAGAAATGTGATTGGAAACAAGACTGCAAAAGCTATGAAGTATCAAATACGAAATATCAAAAGTGATGAACTACTGAACATGAACAAAATTTAAGGCATGTCTGAAGCATGCACCAGATTCCAACAGCAACAGCCAAGCAACTTTTCAAAGAAGAAAGACTCACCCTTTCTATAGCTTCTTTTTCTTGAGGTGTTACTTGAATGTAGTTCATATGACCATTTCCAGCTTCTGCTACTCCTCCAGTGCTGGCACCATCACCACTGCTACTTAAACCTTGGCGGGACTCTAGAACTGGCTCATTCAACATATGAATAAAGTGTTCCTGGTGTTGGCTTATTTGCTGTGATACATGGAAGAAGAAAAGAAATAAAGGTATTGAAATAAAGCATGCTTAAGCCTGCCAATAGGCAAGTAAAAAATTTATTTTTAGTGAATTAAGTAGTCAAAAGAATTCCTTCCCTCTTCCTGATGCCCTTTGCACCTCCTAGAAACTCAGATTTATTTCTAGTGTCATAGAAACTATGTTCTGTACAGCAACAACTGCTGAAAACCCAACAACAGAATGTTCTAACTGCTATAAACACACTATCCCAATTAACATCAACATATCCCTTTGTTGTAAAGCTGAATCAAAATTAGCAGCATTATTTTGTTTTAAGATTCACCTGCAGTAGTTGAGGGTTTTCCCGTCCAATCTGCTGTAGCAATGCCGGTAACAGAGAAGGATTTTGCTGAATAATTTGTCTCATCTGCTGGAACTGAGGCTGATTTCGTAAAAACTCAAGAGGATGTCCTGGAAATCAATGAGGCAACACAGTTTTTAAAAAGTTTCCAAGAGTCTTAAAATACATACCTACACTATAACTGTACATAGAAAGAGGACATGAAAGTGAACTATACACCCCTCACTGAGGAACAGAAGAAGTTGCTTCCTCAAACTAACTTACTCTAGCTTTAAGCAACAATTCTTTACACTAAGGTTAAATAATGCATCTTCTTTTCACCCAGCCTTCTCTTAAGATCCAACACCCTTCTGTCCTTGATCCACAGCACTTTTCTCTTTATGCCTCATCTCTTAGTAACCTCATTCAGAGACAACTATCCAGCCTACTATCTTGTCTCTATGCCTACAACAGAGTTCTCTGCTTCCTATAATAGGTCAGTTCTGTCCTTCTCAAGTGAGTCTTGCCTTCCCATATATATAACCTACGCTGTTAGGTACTGCCTTGAACGCAGCGTGTCAAAAGTGCTCTGAAATATCCCATTTTCCCCATTCCCTCTTTATGGATCATGTCATGTGTGCTTGTCACTACTACTTGTATTTTTAACACCGGCCTCTATCAAGGCTTACATTTTGAGCATCATCTCTGCCACAGCCCAAGACACACTTTTCCTACTCTTTGATTATGCTCCTTTTACATATTTTTGCCCTTTAAGACAGAGTTCTCTTCAGCAGGCACTAATGCCTCTTTCCATGTGCTGCACTGCTGAGTGAGGAGTCCTAGGTCATGGACAGGTCTCAGGTGCTACACCTCATGGCCTTATTGCAGGTTTCTCCCTTGATATTCCAACTTCCAAGAGGTAAATGCATTAATATAGTCCCAATCGACAGTGTACAGTTAGCCACAGAAGTAGGAAGCCAGAGCTTAAGTGAGAGAAAACTCAACCCCCTCAATTTTTGTGGTCTTGCATTTAAATCCAGAATACTGAATCAAAGGAATTGTGCAAGATCACAGAATTTTTAGAAACTTCATGCTTTATTCTAGATATACTCCATAGATATATATATATATATATACACATATATATATTTATATATGTGCCATAAAACAAGACATTTGTTTGAAGCAAGTACTATACTTACAGAATTTCCATGTTACAGCTCTTATCCAATTCATTTTGATCAGCTCACAAGCACCAGGAACTTAAAATTCACTGAAGCAGAGAATGCTTGTGTGTGTGTTTATCATATCCTCTCAAATATAACCTTTCTTACCTCCTAATGAACTAGTAGTTGTAGGTATAGTTGCTACTGCTGCTGCCGCTGCTGAAGACTGAGAGGCACCAGTGCTTGCTGCTTGAGGAGGTTCAGCCCCAGCCTGATTGTCTCCAGGTATACCCTAAAGCCACAGTTCACATAATTACTTACAGAATGCTAAAAGATACTTGTTTTACTGCATGTATTACTTAGTTTTCAGAATGAAGGTAAAAAACGTTAATGCTTTCACTGCAAATACAAAGCAAGATGCTGTGACAGGTATGCATTTACAGCTGGAAAAGAATACTGTGAAAAGAGTAATTTGCTTTTTGACAAGAAAAATATGTGGTTTGTATAGCGAGGTAGTAAAGCATGCAATGCAGCACTTTAATATACATTTTACTCCATAAACAAACACTTGCTTTGAATCCTGTTCTAAGACAGTTGATATGAGTGAAAAAGTTAAACTAAATGTAGTGTTATAAAATATTATAGTGTTATGAAAATAAAGTTACATTACAGCAACAGAATTGTAGTACACAATGCTAACAGTGAGATTACAGATGACACTATCTGGCAAGAAATTAAGAAGAGATATAAGAACATGGCTCTTCAGACCTCCTTCCTCAAAGCAACAGCTGTCATTTACTGTATCTTAAGTGTGAAAAGTCTGTGTATTATCAAATTTAACAGTAAAAAAAACAGTTAACTTGCATTTTTTTTCTTTTCCATATGCAAACAATTTTATATAAGAGCTAACTGCTCAAGGTGATTAAACTGACAAATCTAAAAAAGAACAATTATAGTAAATTAGAATGTGGGTTATACAGCTGAGACAGACCTCACTCTTCTACCCTTCTCCTACATGAGAATCCCTCAAACTGCCCACCCTAACCATGCCTTCCTCACTGTCACTGAATTCCTGAACCACATTTGCCCTTTCCTCACTCCTCCCTGAAACGCAGAAACTTAGGCAGCTTGGCACAGGGGACAGACAGCAAGAAAGATTCCCAAATGACTACAAACCCTGGTGGTACAGGCAAGGGAAGTTGCTTGACAAGAACCCAAAAGGGGCAGACTCCACAGAGCAGTAAACCTCCTGATACACACAGAGTAATAGTGGGAAGAGCTATGTTAAACCCAGCCCCAAAGGTGTAAGACTTTACAAGATCCTCAGTCTCCACAGCATCACAAAATTCTGTTTTTCTATGGTCTTCCAGTATATTCAATCCAGGTAAGTCTGAGAAGGCAGCAGCACTGGTATAACTGAATGTATTTCACCTGCCTCAAATTAAGAAGGTATTCTTCAGTTTGGGAACCACAAAACATAAGGAACAGGATGGGTGGAAATAATCACAGAACTTCAGTGTAACCAGACAATGAAAATACCTGGCCAACCTACCATAGAAATCAGGGGTAGGTAATGTAGATTAAAAATCCTGCAAGAACATGTTCTTCACATGTTCAGCTCTAGTTCATAACTAGAGCTGAACAAAAAGGACAAATACAAGCTAATATAAAGGCCATGTCTAGAAAGGGGTAACTGGACAGTGTTCCAGGCAAAACCTGTGAGATAAGCAGCACATCAAGGTATACATCATCTAATCATCAAGTCCACGTTTAAGCCACTCAAAGGAATAAATGCAAGTTTTTTCTGTCATACATTTCATCACCATTATACAGCTTGGTCAGCTTGCTACATACACACTCCTGCCTCCATAGAGCAGGGAGAAAATTCCATTCAGGACGTAATTCTGAGGTAACTTGCTCTTATCAGTGCCTTACAGAGCACTGCTTAAATACCTTTCCCATCAAATCAGTCATTTCTGAGAATCTAAGTATAATGGAGAAACTTGGGCTAATCTTACTGAAATTGCTGGTTGATTTCACCTATTCACAGGCATATGTTGTCACTGCTATCTGTGCCCAGAGCAAACAGCACATGCTTGTTTAAACCCTAAGTTTGCTTTTGAATGGAAGCAGTATGGAAACTAGGCCAACCAAATTTACTTAGAGATTACTTGTCACCTTGAACATAATCTTAACTCTTAAATACAAGCTTGAATTATCACTCTCCAAACAACTGAGACTCTGTACAATTGTAATCAGACAAGACTAGCAAGATGGATGTTCACCTCAACTTGTTCATACAGCTGTCCAACAGAATAAAGCGTATCAATTCACATACAATTAATTTTGAATGTAAACATTGCTTGGAGAGCAAAAAGGCCATTTTTGCCTTATGGTGGATTAAACGATTCTTTACTGTTTAACTGAGCACCAGAGCAGTTTTTAGCTGACATTGTTCTCCACAGAGTAATAATCACACCAGGCCAAACCCAAGGAATGTACACTTTCAGAACAGAATAGTTCCAGTTGGAAGGGACCTACAACAACTGTCTAGTCCAACTACTTGACCTCTCCAGGGCTGATCAAAAGTTAAAGTGGGTTCTTAAGGGCATTGTCCAAATGTCTTAACACTGACAGGCTTGGGGCATTGACCACCTCTCTAGGGTTCAGTGTTTGACTACCCCCTTGGTAAACAAATGTTTCCTAAAAATTTTCAAACTAAGAGACTGCAAGCAATGGTTCAGTTGCTGGAGGAAAGACAGGATTCCTTCCTAATTAAACGTTAGGAAATCCTTGGGTCAAAAAGAGATCCGAATCTAGATACCTCCAAAGATGAGTCTGGGGCACAGAAAAAGAAACAGTATCTTCTGGAATTGAGACCTCCTTTCATGACCACAGATCGAGGACATAGGATTACACCTAGATTCTCAGCCATGAAGCCATGAAAATTGAACACTTTGTCAACTGAATCATGGACAAGTGGAACATTCAGGGCTCATTTAAGGAACAGCTATGCTTTAAGTATACTCTCTTGACATTTTCTATCCAATACTTTACAGGTACCTTTGGTGTACTGATTCTTTAGACCAGTAGAACAGTATTCACCTAGACCTCTCAACCTCCTAATCTTACTCTGCAGATTACATAAAAGGTAACACTGTTGATGATGTGGAGGCAGGTAGAGGGTCAAAGAACAGTGTCATCAATGTACCAGTATGAACTAAAGAGAAGCTCTTCTAATGCAGCAGGATCGTAAGGAACAGCAGATCAAGAACAGCTAGACCACTGGCAGCAACAGCAGTCTTCTAGAAGGAAAACAGAAGTCTGCCAGTTAATACAGTTTCTAAGAGCAAGACTGTTCCTCCCCTCTCCCTTTTCCATCAGGAAAAAGAGAAAGAACAAAGAAAATATATTCTCAGTAAAGGATTCTCCTGGCTGACTGGGGAGGTTCCACTTGACT